GTGGATTTGGGCTTAAATATTCATATCAAATTTCGGACCGTGCGTAAAATGGTCTGTTCCGAAAGATCTATTCCAACTTTGAGCATTCATTTCCTCGAAAATTAAACAAGGCAAGTTAGAACATTGTTTTCGTGGAATAAATTTGAGCGAGGTAAGCGTTGTGGTCTATGCAGAATTCAGTGCTGTCATATGATTTTACGAAAAGTTGGATATTGGCGTTGTTTGTATAGGGAACTAATGATATTCGTGGTTCTGAGCTATGGCAGATTGCAAAAACTCGGTCACACCAGACAGAGCTAGACTGTGACTGCGCAGTTACGATTTACGTAGAGTAACATTTGTTGACAGGCGAAGTATTTGAAGCATAATCTTAGTGAGAGGACACATTCACAAATTTTAAACCATTGGTTGCTGACCCTGTAGCAATTGCCAAGGCTCAATCGATGTTGCTCTCCGTTTACATGGGAATTTAGCTGAACTACAATACTGAGATCATCTGAACAATATGCCAACACCGTAGTAGTTCTCGTTTGTATTCTTCGAGTGTTATCTGTTTTGCCTACTTATTTTAGCAACTGTGAATGGAGGCCTTTTTGGTGAAAATGGTGAAATGATGCATCCAAAATAAACTGCCTTTCTCTTACAAACAGCCTTAAAATTGTCTTTACAATGTATACCCATTCAGTATTTAAAATTCAAAGATAACGTCCTAAAGCCTGCATGTCGACGTTTCATTTTAAATGTCAACTTCAATCATAGACGTCTTGGCTGCTGCCCGACTGCGGAAATGACACAAAAGATGAGATTTCGGCACGTGATATCCAATGTGCAAAAGTGTCTACTTACTAATTGGCAGTAGGCCTCATTGAAAGGAAGGCAAAAACTTTGCTGAAAGTGGAATGGTAAAGGGTTGATCACCGATCGCGGGAAATGGTCATTCCAGTGTTTCTTGTCTTTGTAGGAAATGCGTTTACCGAAAAGGGTACTGGACATACTCGTCACGTTGTCCTTATGGATTCAATGCGTAGCCCACCCAGGCAGTCGCATAGAGACCAGGTCTGTTCGCAGCAGGAGATTATCAGCAAGCACAAGGGCAATTTAAATGCCCATTTCTGGCCAGTTGGTCATCATCAGTTAGCCATGCCGGCTCCTGCGAAGCCCTAGAGTGATCCTAAAAGCACAGCGGAAAGAGCATGTTTTGTTTTCCGATCAGCTGGCACAGTTACAACACAGTCCATACTCCAGATCCCCACCGACAGGACAAAGGGCCTGTAGATCAGTGTTATGGCCTTCGACCCCATGAATGTAAATATCGGTTGCCCCAACCCTGGGATTATATGTGACCGATTGATAAGGGCTTATAAATCGAAAGTGGTCATTCCAGTCTCCCTCAAAATATCGACAATGGCCTGCTGCGTAGATTAAACGTATTTTCCTATTTGGATTGCGATATTGTTCACGATTTGCAGGAGTGGCCGGAGACTTTTTAATTTGTTCACTTTGTGTACACAAAAAGTAGGACATTTTTCTCAGTTTTTTTTCCTTACCTGTGTCAAAGTCTAGGATCTGGAAATGGTTATATAACTGTAATTTCAGTGCCCCATTTGCTTCCTTATCTCAACAAAGTATGTTAAATTGTGATGAAGGTAAGCCAGCTCCCCTCGAGCTAAACTTGACTGTGCACAAGCTTTCGAGTTTCCAGTCGTATTCAGGCTACCATTGCTTTAGGATTGCCAACTAATGGGACCATTTTATCGCCCCCCTCATGAATGCACAGACAGTGCCGATGGCTCTATATATAGCCCATATGACATCCTCCAATGTGTGGGACAATAGACCCCATTTTCGAAGTTTAATTAGCACATATCCGTTTTCAGAGACTGGAGGGTAATGAACATGTCTATATATGTATCAGCAATGCGGTCGAATATAACCCTGTTGAAGGATGTGTAAATGCGCATGATCTGGAGATGCTGCAGTGTCATTTGCTGGTCTCCAAAGCCGAAAACCTTACTATTACCGTTGTATATAGACCTCCAAATCAACCTGCCGACGAACATCAAGCGTTAACCACTCGACTTTGTGAGGAAAGTCGAAAGAAAAACATGATTATTGTAGGAGATTTCAATGCTCCGCGGATTAACTGGGACCTTATGATAGTCAAGGGCCACAGACAAGCATTCGACCAAATGTTATTAGACATGGCATTTGATGAATTTCTGTTTCAACATGTACGAACTGTGACTCGGATGCGTGAAGGTCAGAGAGCTAGTTGCCTAGACCTTGTGTTTACCAAGAACGAGAAAAGCGTTGATGAAATAAATCTAGGTCCGCCCCTAGGTTCTTGTGATTACATGACATTAATGTGGGAGACGACACTCGTAGCTGCCCCCGAGCTAAGCTCAAAGTCGTTAAGAAATGTCTAGCGGGGTAACTTTGAGGCAATGAAATCAGAGATTGGACACACTCTATGGACGGAAGCATTACGAGGAGACGTCAACGAATGCTAGACAACCTTTGAATCAACCAAGAACGACCTGATTGAACGATACTGTCGCCTCAAGAAACATCCAACCGAAAACAAACCGAAATGGTTCACAACATCGGTTAAGAAGGACATCCGAAAAAAACGCAAGCTGTGGAAAATCTTCTTACAAACGGAGAACCTGAAAAAACTTAAAGAATTCAGACAACAACGAACCTTATGCAAAAGACTCATCCGAGAAGTACGAGCTTCTTATGAAATGAAGCTCCTAGAAGAGGCGCAGCAAAAACCTAAAGCGTTCTATGCATATATCAGGAGCAGTACGAAAAACCGGGACCATCTGGCAACCTTAAAGGACAAAAATAACCGAATTGTGAGCGATGGCTTTCAAAAAGCCCAGCTTCTTTCCGAGTTTTTCCAAAGTGTCTACAACACGGAACCACCCCTCCAGTCCTGTTCTCTTCCACTGCCCGCCAACCAACCACTTATAAGCACAGTATTTTGTACTCCGCAGTTAGTTTTAGCAGAGCTAAATAAGCTGGATCCGGCCAAATCACCTGGACCAGATGAGATCCCAGATGTACTCCTGCGTCAGCTAGCCGAAGAATTAGCAGAGCCACTTTCTATAATCTTTCAAAAATCCCCAGAAGCTGGCAAACTACCTGACACATGGAAGTTGGCAAACGTCGTACCTATCCACAAGGGAGGATCACGGCTATGTCCCAGGAACTACCGGCCGGTTAGTTTGACATGCATTTGCTGCAAACTGATGGAGAAAGTAGTTGAAAAATCTATTACATCACTCGATACTTTCCGCTGTCACATCGCCTCAGTTCAACATGGCTTCTGCGAAAAGCGGTCGTGCCTCACAAACCTGCTTTTGTCACTCGAACACTGGTCAAAGGCCATGGATGAAGGACATTTAGTTGATGTCATTTACTTCGACTTCAGCAAGGCGTTCGATTGCGTCCCACATAAGCGCCTCATTCAAAAGTTGTCAGAAGAAGGGATAATAGGAAATCTTCTGAACTGGATTCAAGATTTCCTAAACGGACGGCGACAAAAAGTCACTGCGGGCAGCTACTGCTCAGAATGGGCACCTGTTACGAGTGGAGTCCCACAGGGGTCAGTTCTTGGACCGCTCCTATTTATTATCTACGTAAATGACCTAGTAGGGGAAGTGAAATCGGAAATAGCGCTCTTTGCAGACGATCTTAAACTTTGGAGAGCGATAAAAAATGAAGATGACGTCAAGATACTACAAAAGGACGTAGAGAATTTGCATGTATGGAGCGAGAAATGGTGCATGAAATTCAATGTCAAAAAATGTGCAGTAATGCACGTAGTATCAGCGAGGCGAAGAACAAATGCACCTTCACGATAGAATCTGCTGGACAATCAACCACATAAAACCGTAGATGTGCAAAAAGATCTCGGTGTGTTCATTAAAGACGATCTAAGCGTCATCGCGCAGTGTTCTAAAGTCGCTGCGCGAGCAATGTCCGTTATGAGCGCGATGCGCAGAACGTTTATACACTTGAAGAAAGACGTTTTTGGCAAAGTATACGGGACATTCGTGCGGCCGCACCTGCAATATGCGGTACAGGCTTGGCGGCCGTGACTTCGGAAGGATATAGATATCCTTGAAGGTGTACAACGGCGTGCTACAAAGGCTGTTCATGGCCTCAAAAACTCCACGTATGAGCAGCGCCTGACGGCCTTGAACATCTATCCCCTCCACTACAGACAGGACAGAGGTGACCTCATAGCAACGTTCCAGTTGGTAAAAGGACTTAATATGAATGTCAACTGGGAATCGTTTTTTGAAATGGCACCCAAGTCCAATATCAGACGACATGATTACCAGCTTAAAAGGAAACTGTGCCACACAAATCAACGTTCCTCCTTTTTCTCACAGAGGGTCATTCGCCAATGGAACTATTTGCCGGAGTTTGTTTTTAATTCCCCTACTGTGAACGTGTTCAAGAGACAACTGGATGCTTACCTGCTGAAAGGCAACCCGAACTGCCGAAGCATGATCTAACGGATTATTGAAATGACTATAAATATACTACTAACAAGATTTCAACAGCTCCTATTTTGTGCGCTAAACTTAGCCCATATAGAAATTTTCAGTATGAATACGGTGAACAAAGTTTTTCCCAATTATTTCGCGAATATAATACCCCTTTCGCCTTTATGTTACATTATTAGATTTATGAATTTTCCTTACTGAAACTACAAGCAAAAGCTTTGCAATTTAACTATTTTCCCTTATATCTGTACCCTCTAAATGGAGTTTTCATGGCTTCTGTCGTTTGCTCCAAATATACTGACTGATACTAACTGAATTATAGGGTGCATTGTGCCTGATGGGTTGACCGCCGATGTCGTCTGTTACATTGGATCGAACCCCCGTTTCGTAGTGACATTTGCTGTGCCGCGTCGATAATTGGCGGCACGCTGTCGCCATCTCCTGTCAAGACGGTTCGTAGAACCCGATAGTGGGAGGTGAATGAACTTTGTGGTTGGCAGGACGGTCTGGGGATATCCAGGATTGAGGTGCGAGGATGATGATGATGATGTTGATGATGATGATGATGATGATGATGATGATGATGGTGGTGGTGGTGGTGGTGGTGGTGGTGGTGGTGGTGGTGATTTTTAAGACTATGCGATGTCAGTGCATACAGGATCGCGCATGTCCGTTTACCACTGCTCCTCGTGAAATGTGCAACACACTTCGGATACACTGCGAAATTTTATGAACTCTTTGTGCTATATTCTTGAAGGCATAGAGGAATGTGTGATTTTTCTTACGCAGAAAGCATGCCACTAGTTGTCTGAAATCGCTGAACACTGATGCAATGACAGATCAAGCTCAAAAATATTCGGGCATTGGGAAACTTTGTTAAAATCGATATATAAACTTTCTTCGTGTAGAAAATGCATCGACAGTGTTATTTCCTATCAAATGAGTAAAAGGAAGCTTAGTTTGTGCACGTTTTTTATAAAACATATTTGAATTTCTAAGACCATCGAAAATACACGGGAAAAATGAATGCTAATTAAGTAGGCATTTTTTACCGCATACGGTTTCTGCAGGAGATCAAGAAGGAGCGCGTTAAAACGCCGACATCCTGGCGAGTCCGAAATGCTATGAGATTATATCGTACGCGAATAAATAATAAAACCCCACCTAAGTAATCCTTCCTAATGGGAAACGAATTCTAGAATTTCGGCCAACATTTCAGGAGCTCGGTCATGCACTGTAGTTACCGTGTATCTTCTTTGCCTTTTACAGGACATCTAACAAGTCTTTTTCCCTTTTCTTCAAGTTTTAAGCAAATGCATGGTGACCTTTAAGAAAAATTTAACGTAGTGAACAAAATGCACTTAATTTCCATACTGCACATAGGAGGTTCAAGAACTTTCTTGAAAGTGTAGCCTTATGTACTTATTTTACCTGTACCCATAGAGTAGGTGGGTTAACACATAAAACTTCAACCGAAATTCCGAAATGCGTTATGGTTTGAAAATATTAATTCAGTAGGGCTGTAAAACCAATCATCGTGCAGCATAATTCTATAATAATTTAGTTACCACAGGAAGCCGGCTTTCGAACGAACTTTCTCCCCGGTGCGTGCAAAAACTACTGTCTGTAAAAAATGACTTCTTATATAGCATTCACTTTTCTCATTGATTTTCGATACCCGTAAAAGCCCAATTATATTTTATGGAAAATATGCATTAAAGAATTCATTCTTTTGCTCATTCGGTAGAGCACTGCGTCCTCTCTTAAGTTTTTACTCGAAGGGGCGGAGCATAATTCAATTTTACAAAGGCTTCTACTTGTGGGATTTTTAAATACCTTGAAGTGGCCGTTTATAAGTCATCGTGTTTTTCCTTTTCCCAATGTGGCTTGTAAAGTTAACAAAATGAATCAAATCCACCGCTTAACTTTATGAACCTCATATGGTCTCCTCTTAATGCCGTACAGAAATTTGTAGTTTTCAGTAAGCAAAAATATACTGCTTGTAGTTTGAAACCCCTGATCCAAGTGTCACGGTAGAGCGTGTTCAAAATTTTGCGGGAATTGGGAAAGTTTTTGAAAACCGATTTATACCCTTTCTTCGAGTATAAGTTTGGAATAAGAAGTAATTATCTACCGAATGGCAAAGGACTAAATATCCTTTACATGTTTTCCATGAAAATTAATTGGACACTAAGGGGTATCGAAAATCAACAATGACATTATTAAGGGGTACATTAGACAGCACGCAAACTACCCAAATTACCTTGTACGTTCGGCAATTATGAGCCGCTATATTCTGCCTCCAATGTGGCGGAAATAACTGTACCAGTGGGGTTAACGCACACTCAACCTCTCCCTTCAGCTATAACACGTGCCTCGCACTCATAACGATGTGCTTGGCCAAGCATCATGCCCAACATCCAACTGACTCTTCCACGTATCCTGAAGGAATTTCCGACGAGGTTTAGTTCTGCAGCTCCATTCGGTCGATATCCTATGGTCAGTATTTTAACAAATTTTAGAAGGTAAGAATCTGTCGACCTTACATATATCACGTATTTGCGCATTCCTTACCACTTCAATCCAGCGAGTGACTGTGCCACGGGAGGAGAGTACTTATACGCCATCCTCGTTTTCATCAGGTATCAGTTTACACACGCTTCCTTGCGCCTGCTTCGAGCTCCGTTTTCACTCTTTTCCCCTTCATAATCAAGCCAGTGGCTAAGCGGGCTTGAAAATGAAATTGTTCGGATGGATTGGAACTTTATCGGCTCCATTACAATGGCCATGCACTGCGGATTACCACACGGTTTCCTCCCTTGCCCTCCACTTGTGATTGCACCCTCCTTATCCTGCTAATCCAGCGAGTGGTTGTGTCGTGGGAGAGAGTATGAACACGCCACCTCCACGCGCTTCCCTGCGCGTGCTTCGAGCTCTGCTCCTGCGCCTATTTTCCCTTCCTAATCCAGCGGGTGGCTAAAGTAGGCATGGCAACTTAAATTGTTTTAGGAAGCCAACCATATGATAGAACTCAGGTGGGGCTGCGGAACCAAACTTCGCCGAATTTATTTTAATTTTTGAAATCCTGAACGACTTATGTGAACCTCGGCAATCTAATATTGTATCAGAGGGCCTTTACACCGTCATTCGCAGTTTCCAGGGTAAATTATTCTCCCTGCGTGCTCTTTAGCCCACCTGGGTGAGGTTTCCATGCAGTCACGGAGAATGATTGCAGTAGTTGGGCAGGCCACTGGATGAAGGCGGTATTTTCTGACTGTTTTCCGTTAGGATTACTTTTTTTCGCGGGAACGTGGTCCATTTAGGGCCAGTCTGATTTTAAAATGCGAAGTAAATTCATAGTATCAGCTTTACTTTACAAAGGTTAGGCAGTGATTGTGTAGATTTAAATTTTAGTATAGCCAAGATGTCCATAGGAAGAGCCAAACTACTTGCAAAAAGGCGAGGATGGAAGATTACTGTGACTATACATAGAGGATGCGGTTGCGACGTAAGGCCCTGTCCACTAATGCTATTGTCTCTTGCCTCAATCGTAGATGCCTAAACTTAATGCAATAAATACTCAGTCGACCAAATTCTAGTAGTTACTTGTTGCTAATTCATTAAAACTCTCGGTTATTATTGTGGTAACTACTCGGTATTTCTTTCGTCCATAATGCTAATGAAGGAATTCTATGTTTGCTCAATCAATCTTGAAAAAATATTGTTATCGCAACTGAAGAGGAGGAGGCATTGCGTTTGTTGGAGATCTGTGACCGAAACAATTGATTACGCATTCGGTCGACATTTCCAGCGGGAATTTCCGCCTCATGGAGGCCGAAAATTTAGCCACATCCCACAAAATTCGCCGGTATTCAAGTGCTGGACGCATCTCAAATCACTGTTGGAGTCTGCTCAGCTAACCGCATCCAAACTGCCCAGTTCCTCCGATAAAATTCCCTTGCCAAAATTGCACTGCATATGTTAATCGGAGTGAATCGTTTCCTCGACCTTATAACCTACCCTCTGGCGGTTGCTACCGATCCGCATGTGATTGCAATTTTGGGTTAGATAAGAAAGTTGCTAGCAATTTGAGGATACTTTTTGACAATCAAAGCCCTTCCTTCATACATGGACCGAGTGCTGTTCCTTACCTGGTCTCGTGTCCGTTTGCACCGATCGACAAATTTGCGCGGAAGATTATTCACTCTGAGCCTACAAGGAGCATGCTCTACTTCAACAATATCGTCTCAGGATTGAGTGTGTCAGCACAGCATCTGTGCCCAACTTCGTTCGTCGCTGATTTCCTGCCCGTTGCTAAGGTTTAGTATTCCTGCCTCGTACTTGTCGCTTTCCTATGTACTCGGGTCTTGGGACAGGTGCAATCTCAGACAAGTAGGAACATAGAGGAAGACCATCCGATTTTCACTTTTCCCTTCATCGTGAACCGTATATCACGTTGGACTACGTTGTGATGTCACTACTGAATGCAAATACCTCATCCAGTACGATAACAGAGAACAGATTTGGCGGAATTTCCTGCGCGTTTATTTGTATCTTCGTAATCGCCTGTGTGCCGAATGACTGAGTTAATAGAACAAATTATCAATGATTAATTTTAAAGGCGTTCGACAATTATGCACACAAATGACTGCCACACACAAACGACGTTGATTATTCAGAGTGTGTTTGCAGTTATCACGTGCAGACACTACCAGACTTCAAGAAACGCTCAATTTGCCACGAGTTAAAGCAAACACGGAGGGGGCCAAACAGGCGGCCACAGGCTTACCTCACAGCTACCTTTCGTACTGATGTTTGTTCAGTAGATGTGCTTGTGGTATTTTTTTGCCGCCGCGTATACATAAACCATAAACACTCCCTCACCATCTTCTGCACCGACTTCCCCACCCCCCCTTCCACCCCAAAGGCTTATAACCTACGTCGTCCAAACATACGCCTTCCACTTGGGACAGCAGCTACCAAAGGCTTCAGGCTCTTAAACTACTGCGGTATTTACATAAACACCTAACGCTCCGTCACCATCGAGCCCACCCCTTCCCCCCCTCCCCCCCCCGCCAAAGGCTTATCACCTACGCCGTCCTAACATTAATCCCGGCAGTCCTTTTCCCACCTTTATACAAACTGTCAGCATTCGACAACTCCCTAACCGGCTTTTCCCACTTCCGCCTGCTTCACAGTCTACTGCCCCCCTCCCCGCACCCTTTTGTTAGTTGACCTGATATGCCCTTCACTGCGGGTGGTTCGAGTCACCAGTCACCAGCTACCCCGATTCCTCCTTACCGTCTGCCAGGGTTGGCAGCTGCCTAAGACCCTCCCCGCGCGCCATCCTGTTCCCGCTCTAAAGGCCTTCCGTAATCACTCCCTTTCTGCCCCATAAGAGTTTACCGACGAGGCTTAGTGGATGTCGTTGCCTTATTCTACATCGGTAAACATGTTCACCTACCAAGCCTCCCTGGTAGTCGATCAGTCGCCCTCTTCACTGTGTGTTGATGGCTCCATTACCATTGTTAGAGATACCTGCCCAACCCACAGACAACGTCCGTTCGATTCTACCATTAGCCCACAACCGGCTCTTATCAGCTGACGCAGCCCTGCGGTTGAACTTTACTTAACTGAGTATCAAACTTTCCTTCATTCCGGATGCTTACCAGCACCGTAAGCCAGAGCACTGCAGTAGCAAAATGCAACATTTACTCAAAAATAGGAAAAGGGAACAACACACTAGGCATACAGCGTAGTACAGAAAATCGTCCCCGGCTGCCTTGGGCAGTGGCTTGCCACATCACCAGCAAGCAACAGTTAGGTGTGCTAGAAAAGGGTATGCGATTACACGCTTGCCGTACACTGTAGTACCTCAGATCGCCTTTAGCATCCTTTTTTGGTAGCGGGTATCCCCATCGCCAGCAGGTAACGGCCGCATTCACTGTGGGTAGGCATGGAAAGTAAATGGAGGAAGCACAGAGACTTACCTTCAAGTCTTCCGTCTGTGCCTTCGTTGGTTAGCTTATCACATCACCGTTGGTTGGCTCTCCTTTATTGGATATGCTTCTGCCCAATGTCGCGTAAAAGTTTCCCAGGAAGCTGCCATGTTGTCGGCCCTTAGGTCGAACCAGAGGCGGTACTGAACCTCATCTAGATGGGCCCACACTGATCTGCCACAGACAGGATCAGACTCCTGTAGCTTGCTCTTCAATCTGCTCCAGTAGGCCTCTACGGCGTTCGTATGCCGACCCGTTGTGGGATTCACGAAGACCCTACTGCGGTTGACGGTGTAGTGTGTGCAACCTTCCGACGGTAGGCGGGTATAACTCTTCCACTCATTCGTTACGATAACACTACCAGCAGCCACCCACTTCACTATGACGGGCCTTAGGGCCTGCCAGCTGCGGTTGTTAACCTGCTTAAACAGGGCTTTCCGTGTGCCTGTATCGTACATACCGACGACGCACAACTGGCGCCGCGGTCGTCCCTTGTGGTACTTGCGGCGACTTATAAGCGTCTCGTCTATCTGCACTTCCACGCCTGGTCCCCCAATTTGGCTTACGGCGGATAGAAGTGTGTGTGAGCAGGCCCCGCGGCAAATGCTGTACCATTCCATGGCAGTATTTCTACTGACACCCACAATTGCAGCACATCGCTTGGCCCGCCCACCTTCGACGAAATTATAGCATATGCGTAGCAGTGTCTGCAGACTGAGCTTGCTACCAACGAACATTGACCCCGTCCGCAGACACCGCTTCCGTCTGAAGTGTCCACAGCGGAAGGCATAATCGTCCGTATGCTACCGTAGCACTTGCATCTGCACAGTACGCCGACATCGGCATGCTAATGTTGTGGCCAGCAACCTCCACCGCTGCAAGTACTGAACGACACCTGCTGACTGAAAGACAGCTTGTATTTCATCCTCGGCGGTCTGTATAACCCGCTGAGGACCGCGCCAACGTCCGCCTGCAGTCGGTGACGATCTAGGTATAAAACAGTAGGAGTTTATAATACTGCTGGTGTCAACTTATACATACCCCCCACCCCACTTTTCCCTTATGCATGCCCAGAGTTAATTATGGTATACCTAACAATGAGGATCAGTTGAATTAGCGGTAGCTTATAGGTAGTAGGCCATCATGCGTTCTGTGCTAGCTATTCGGACACAGCATGACTTTTCCTGCATTTACTCTTACAGCTTGTATCCACCAGGCAATGTGCTCTTGGCTAGGTAACATAGCGCACTTAACGCACATAGGAGTTATGCAAACAAATCAGTGGCCTTTCATTTAAATTGCCCTCCTCCTCCGCTGGCTAACGACCAACTACCTAGCACGGACCTACCTAACTGCCGACTACATCTCTTACCACCCCGCCGCCTTTTACCTTAGCATACTCACAATGGGCACTTCGGTCCCCTTCAGCTAATGGCATGCTCTGAGCCCGACGTCGGTTGGTCCATACGTCTGAGGAATCCAAACCCCCCCTTTTTTTTCAATGGAGACCATGACAGCAGCGTGTATTAATATTTCTCGATGGAAGGGCTTTGATGCAGACAAGGAGCAGTATGATTTTAGAGCGGTTGTGCACTTACTCACTGACAACCGACGGCGATCGTGGCATCTGACACGGCGCAGTTCCCCGGAGGCCCCCGCCAACACTACCTAATAACCTACATTTAAAATTAAAAGGGTTACTTAAGTCTGCAAACTGCTCCCACCATGGAAATTTAAAAATCTATCGAAAGGGCGTACTTACATACGGCAACCGACCACTTCGGGAGTTCGCCGATCTGCTGTAGGTTGGTGCGGTGGCGTTGGAGTACGTCCAGGTATCCTAAACATTTTTCGCGTTATGCGTATTAAACGGTGCATGCGGGGGAGATCAGCGATATAACAGAGAGCGAGGGGGTGAGGATGAGTTAGTAAGGGGCTGGGAATTGAGGCAATTGTCATAAGCAGTTTATTCAATCAATCCTTCCCAACCACAGCACTTCGATGTCCCTTCCCGTCTCGCATGCGCATCTTCTGCTTCTCATCCATCCGCTGGCAAATTAAATTTGTTTCGTAATACGAAAGACAGAAGGAAATCTGTATGCATAACCAGAGCGGATAATTGCAAATACGGAGTGCTAAAGTGCTACTAGGGTCTCTAAGATGCTAAGATGTGAGTTAATGTGACCTGATATTCCAGCATCTTTTTTGAAATTCGAGCACTAATCATGTCAAAACAGACGTGCAGTCAGTAATTTCAGATGGCATATAAGCCTGACTTTTATCACAGCACTTTTCATCACTTTTTCTCTATTTTATTCAGGTCTAGTCCTTAAGAGGTCACTCCTAGCATGGAAGAAAACTTGAGTTAATAGACTTGCAGGGCAAAATTATGTATTTTATTTGCTGGCGCCAGTCCCCGACAGCCACGTGGTTTATTTTGTTTTGATTGCATAGACAAATTGATGAAAAAACAGGCTAGGATTGCAAGACTCGCCCGACCTTAGCCGCAGACCAGACCAAAGTTAAAAGGGCGCGAGAGAAAGGCCGACGCTGAGGAGATCAGGCGAGTGATCATGAAAATATGGATAGAATTTGGAGATCATTCCATCAGAAATGTTAACAAATCTTACGGAGTAAAAAAAGCTTCAGATGACAAAGGACACCTAAATCGTCCTCAGGCTGATTGCCCCAAACGCATGCACATCGACAAATGACCATCACTATTTTTGAAGAGACATAGAAAAGTCAGGAAAAACGAGATCAGTTGAGGAGAGAAGTGCGAAAACTGAAATATCCCTAGAATCGTCTGCTAAACCTGTGGCTACCGACACAAAAAAATCAAGACGAGGCAGTTCTGGTGAGCTGCCATAAAACGGCTTCTACGCATTGTTAATTCAACTTAAAAATATAGAACCCTCATCCAACATATCTGACAACATCAGTCTTCCTTGAATTTCAAATTACTCCGATCGTGCCTATTTGATTTATATCAAAGCCTTAAATGATACGGTTGGGCAAATATCTCAATTATTGCTTCGGGGAATTACTATTGCAAAGGGACTTAAATAATTGCCCCTTGCAATGACACGACCCATCGAATTCCATGGTATGACTGAACCGTCAGTCAACTGAGATAATTTGGACCGTTCTGAAGGCATGACTGAATGATTGCCATAAAATACTAAAGTGACAACTGCTGTCTCAGAAACAAAATCCCTATAAACCTTTATTTGACAGTTCGACCGTCGATTTCGACGATGTCCACCGTGTTCCCCACAGCTGCAGCAGCGATGGGAGCAGGGACGGTGACTTACGCAGGGGTTTATAGTGCCAGAAGACTTGCGTAGCATCTACCTACACTCTCTCCTCCTCCCCCGCCTGGGCCCGGTGTCAAGACAGAGTCAAGAAGACCGGAGACGAGAGAGGCCGCAGGTGGATGGCTCGGACGGATCCTCACATTGGCGTTCCACCACACCCCCTGGACCACACAACAATAACCAGGATTTCAACCAACACAACAGAGATTTGGAGGCTGGCACGGCCGAAGCCGCACCTGGGCGTGCCGGCAACGCCTGGCTCGGATCCCACACTGTAGTAGGAGTGCCATAAAGGCCACATTAAAAAGGAGCCATTGCAGCCTGACTCTCAGACCGCCTCCAGTAATGGAGGAGGTCCAAGGTACCCCGTCAGTTGGCAACCTTCCAAGCTACGGCTTTTAGCGCACCAAGATAGCTTCAAGCGCGTCAGATTGTTTATTTAGAACCAACATCGCGCACACACTCATTTCAGCCGACACATTCCTTCACAACACCAAGTCTAGGAAACTCTCCTATATCCAAACGGAGCGGCGGTGTGCAGAACAGCCCAAATCCTAGATAAAACGTTGACAATAGAGGCAAAGAGACGAGTCCCAGGAAGTAGTCTTGAAGAAGGAGACACGATCGCCGGGACAAGAGCTTTATTAGCCTGAAGTTTCGGATTCCTACTCGAATCCATCTTCAGAAACAAAAAAGCAGAAACGGGTGGTTGCTGCACAAGGGGCTGCGGTATTTATAGGATGCAGTAGCCATGCTACCGCATACCTATGAACATTCACGGCTCCCCCCTTTGTCCTTTATCAGACGGAGGCAACGGAGGAGACTAAGAGTCTCATCCGACACCAAGTGTCGTCTCTCCTGATGGCCCACAGGCCGCGGAAAGTGCTTTCCAAGGTCGAACGTGATGCGCTTAGAGAACTGAAGGCCGACAAAGACCTGGTCATCGTGCCAGCGGACAAAGGACGCGCCACAGTTGTACTGGACAGGACAGACTACCTTCAAAAAGCCAAAGGTTTACTGGAGGACTGACAGTTCTATGTCCCATGTGCAACGAACCCTTTAAAGGCGCTGACACGCGAAATTAATGCTACGTTGTTGGCCTTGGAGAACGCAGGTGCAATAACACCGACCGACAGACGCATGGCGAGACCCCAAGATACGGCTTTGGCCCGATTCTATGGCCTTCCTAAGGTGCACAAAGACGGCGCTCCTCTCTGACCCATCGTGTCGCTCAAAGGGACTCCAACGTACGGACTTGCGAAGTGGCTGTTCCGGCGTCTCAAGTTTCTGACCGCTGAGTCAGACACCACGGTCTCTTCGTCAGCACAATTCCTGGAGAAATTCAAAGGGGTAAGCCTCCATCTAAATGAGGTCATGGTGTCTTTTGACTTTACATCCCTTTTTACCTCATTTCCCAGGACCTGGCGATCGAGACAATTGAGCTGCTACTACAAAGCAAATACGATGAAACGGAGAACCGTCTTGGACACGCCCAAATCCTTCAGCTCCTGAAGCTCTGTCTCAGGACGTACTTCACGTTTGACGGGACAATCTACGAACAAGTGAAGGGCACCCCAATGGGTTCGCCGATTTCGGGATTCATCGCCGAGGCGGTCCTGCAACGATTAGAGTCGCTGGTCTTCCAACAACACAGACCGAAATTCTGGGCCCGGTATGTGGATGATACCTTCGTCGTCATCGAACGGGATCAGGTGTTGACATTCCGAGAACGTCTCAACGCCGTCTTCCCGGACATTCAATTTACGATGGAGGAGGAAGAGAACAACCTGGATGTCCTCGTATGTCGCAAGGATTGTGGCAAAGTGTTCAGGAAAGCGACAAATACGATGCAAGTACTGAACTTCAACAGCAACCACCCAATCAGTCACAAACGCAATTGTGTAAGGACGCTCTATCGGCGTGTCGAAACACACTGCAGTGAGCCGGAAGACAAGATGGCCGAACTACAATACCTCCGACGGGTCTTCAAAGCCAATGGCTACCCGCGCAACTTTGTCAACCGGTGCATACGCAAAATGGACGAAAGGCCTAACCGTAGGGACACCAAAGTTTGGCGAGCGCTTCCATATGTCAAGAACGTTTCGGAAGCTGTCGGCCGCCTTCTCGCACCACTTGGTGTTGGAGTTGCACACAGACCGCAGACAACCATCAGGCGTCAGTTGATGAAACCAAAAGACCCACTGTCACGGCAAGAAACGTCTGGAGTCGTTTATCGGATCTGGTGCAGTTGCGGACAAAGCAACTACGTCGGAGAAACCGGAAGACAGCTCCGAACGCGAATGGCCGAACACGCTGCAGCAGTGCGGAGAAATGACGCCACCTCTCAAGTTGCGGCTCATTCGACGGGTTCCGGCCACACATTCAAATTTGACGAGGCCGAAATTCTTGCAAGAGGTAACAACCGCGTGAGCCGCGAGCTGCTTGAGTCATGGTTTACCGGCCTCCAGTCTATCAACAAGTGCGATGATCTTCCCATTCAATACAGCGTGCTGAGACTTCGTCAAGGCGGAGTAATTGGCCACGCGGGGAGCGCACTGGTGAACACTCCTCCCAACACCCGGGTCAGCGCGTCAGATGGTCGAGCAATCATCACGCCAACATCCAACGCACGTGATGAAATTGCAGCAATTAACGACGCGAATATCGACCATCACGCCACGTGCAACGAGCCCTGATGAAGGGGAGAGAGGCGTGAATTTTCATAGGTATGCGGTAGCATGGTTACTGCATCCTATAAATACTGCAGCCATATGTGCATGAACCCCCTTATCTGCTTATGTCTCTGATGATGGATTCGAGCAGGAATCCGAAACGTCAGGCTAATAAAGCACTTGTCCCGGAGATCGTGTCATCTTCTTCAAGACTGCTTCCTGGGACATGTCTGTTCGCTTCTATTGGCATCTTTCATGGTATTTAAACGGCATTTATGATGATGATGCCGGATGGTATTTTTTCTCCCTATATAAAATACGTAAAATGCAAAAAGCAATTCCTCTACAAGCTAGACCTGCGTGACACTCTAAAGGACGTTACCGGTTTAATAAAAAAGAGAGATTGCTCGATTACATGGCCCGCTTATTAGTCAGCTCTGAACCTCTCCTTCGTTTTATTCTTCGTCCTCTGAAATTTTAGGAATATTAATCGTCTCACTGGCCATCGTAACACACTAGCACGTGTGGACGCCGATTTCGACTCATTAAACAAAAATTTTATTATTAATCACAATGGTTTCTTTCTTCCCTCAAACAACATTTCCATTCTACCATGTGCCTTCTCACCTGTGTCTGTGGTAACAGTCGAAAAACACCTTGAAATTTTCCGTGGATCAGGAGCTGCCGGGCCTGATGTTGCCTCATCTTTTCACTCAAATATTGCTGCCCTTGGATGGCTCCCTTTTTGGCACACCTCATTAACATGTCTTTCATGCAGTTCAAGATTGCTGACGCCTGGCGTACAGTAAGAATCACTCCTATTGCTAGAAAACCGCAAATTTTGGTCCTTAATCTTTTCGACTAATTGCTTGCTCTTCAGCACCACTGAAAATTGCTGAGGAACTTGCTCTGGACATTATAAAACCATTCTCTTCCTGTTTCCCCGCTTCTTTGCAATTTGCCTAACATGCCAATCGTAGTACCTTAGATGTCGTTACTCTTATGGTTCATTCTGCCCTAAGGGGATTAGATAGGGGTTGACGTACGCACGTACACATGTGCATTTCTTGACTACTCCTCCGCATTCACTACCGTTCCACGTCTCCTACTCCTTTCCATAACATCGGCATGCGGCTCTCCGACTGGGTTGTTTCTTGATTTGACTATCATTTTACTTCCCGCACTTTTTATTCAATCTGGCAAACGGAAATCTGCGGCCCCTCCCAATGAATTTGCAGTTCTCCTAGGTTCCTTTTTATGCCCTCATCTCTCCTTCCTCCAAGATCCTAAAACGACGGTCTGTTACCCAATTATGCGGTTGATGTGGTTGTTGATCACCCTCTCAAAAATCAGACACATTTTCGGTCTTTAAAGGATGACGTTGACCATTTTCTATATAATCGCAGGAGAATGGTCTCCTACTGAATAATCAGAGATCCGTCTAGTATGTTTTCTGACCTAGTCCTGAATTCTTTCACATTCTTCCCAACGAGGCATCCTCTTTCAGGTTTCGTGATGTTGCGCTATCATCAATCCTTTCATTTTCCCTCCACATTGAGATCCTTTTCACTAAAGTGCGGCGCCTTCATTACATTCGTCGTTTGCGTTCCTACCCTACACCTCAACCCATAATCTGGTGATTCATAGATAGCCGCATTCTTTCTTTTATTCTTTATTGTTCTCTTGTCATTTTTCCTGCGTTGCTCAAAGGATTTATGGCAATTTTAATACGATTCTTTCGGATGCTCACTTGTATTGCAGGTGTTTCTTGGTTTTATAGCCGATATTTTCATACAGGAACATTTCAAAATGGTTGAGCACTTTAGTGGCTGAATTGTGGATGACGGTGCCCATGCCTTGCATTCTCATCTATTGTCTGCGTAATCCTCCCACTCTTTGCGCCGTGGCTTTAGAAAGATATCTTGGCGTACATCGGCATATGAGCATTCTGTATTGTCATTCCCGGCACGCTACCTCACGGGTGAAGAGTACGAAATACGGAAAATGAGACTCGAATTGTCCCCGTAATAGTTGTTCCTTTCTGCGCAGACCTTTTTGACCATTGAGCAATTTGTTAACTTGTATTGTGTCCTCAGTGCATGAAGGTCATCTTTGCTAAAAATTTTGTATTTATGATTTTAGTGGAAAGATAATTCCTCTGTCTGTCTCTCACACATAGGCGTTTTAAGCCGTGAATGTTAATTCATAATACCTTCAAAATTGAATTAATTGATTTGTCATTCTGTACACAGCCAGAAACTCCAGATTCCGAGCTCGACACGCCTTCCATTTTAAGCGCTTTTCATCACAACCACTTCGAAAATCATGTCCGCTTTCGTTCAGTAGGACTCGACAAAACGTTCAATACCGACTGACGACAATTTCTATGTGTAACGCTTCATTCGAAACCCAGTTACTGTAACTGCGATAGCGTCTGGTTGTAAGCCATGAATACATAATCCAAACTCCATTCGGTTTTCTTGCATCCGCACTTCAAGGGGTTCGTAGACAAAGACCAAATCAGTCTTAAGAATTATATGGGACTGGTTAATGACGTCAAACCCACTCACTATAATCACTCAGATTTACTGTTGAGACCTGATCAACGTCGCAGAATAGACGCATATATTCGGTAGAATGGAAAGCAGTTGACAGTAATAGGCTTTCGGGCCAATCAGAGTTCTCTCAGATGGTGCGCCAATCGCGTAGGTGCCACCTACCGGACAAACTGTTTGCGCTGACAACTGCTCATTCAGGCTTCGCTGTTGGCGATTTTTTGGCAAAAGGTGATCCGTCACTTGACCTTGCCTATAAATTAACCCCCCGCGGCCCCATGTAAATGAGGTTGACCGTTTCTGTCTTTCAAAATCAAATCTGCCTCACCTTCATTTAGACCGGCGAAGGTTACCCCTCTACCCCTCATGATTGAAGAAGAGGTTCAGAAGTCAAATTTAAATTTTTAACCAGAAGTTGGCATTCGGCATAGAGTGTCGACAAGGATAACCAAAAAGTCAGGAGAGACTGGAATGACCATTTCTGTCGTTAGTCAGCCTATGAGAGCCAGAATGAGCATGTTTCGTAGAGTTGCCTTCCCACAATAGTCGCTATTTACTCAGGCGGTCATCCGATTAGAAAGTCGCTACTCTGAAGTCTGCCGTCGCTAAGAAAATGAGGAACAACGTTCACTTCCACAGAATTATCCCTGAACTACTGTTCCTATATAAATATGAAGTATGACGAACAGCGGAAAAAATTGGTTTAATTTTAAGTTCTGTCGGTAGCATTTAAATAGGTCGAAGGCAGCCGCACCGCTGATGGTCTCCGCATGCTTGCACTCCGTCGTGACGATCACACTGACAGGATGCCATGTTGACGCAGGATTTGGTAAGTCGCAGAGCCCAGCCGTGTTCGTCTTTTACATCGTAAGTGCCAGCTCTCAGTACTGACTACTGTTTTGGTCGATATTAAAATCATCTACGACGGCTCCAGTTCAACTCACTGCCATGGGTAGCATTCTGGAAAAATTACGATAGCCTGGATCGCTGAACGTCTCCCTCCCTAGGCCACTTTTCCACACGAACACCGGTCCAAATCTAATCATTTCACATACAGTCAGGTACCGAAGAAAAACTTACTTTTACTGATCCCGTTTTTATTTTTGCGCGTAGATTTTGGGGGATGACTGTTCAAGATGGGCGGCTTAGTTCGAGTGAAAAAATCCCTGACACAAAGCAACAGTCCAGGCCGTTCATAATATGGAATGTTAGTAAGAGGTCACCCCGCAATCGCCTGCAGCAAAGCGGAAACATTTTAAAGGTTGGCAGTCCGTTTTCACAAGACAGTTTTCTCAGGTCTTTGGTCATTTTTATCGCCCTTCTCTGGACTTTCCCTAAGAGCGTACAATCCGTGAAAATCTTAGGTCTTCACGCCTTAACGGCGCATTCTAGATGCAGCCGCAGGAACTGTCGAAAAAAAAATTGGAGAAGCTGTCTTTACCAAACTCAATAAGGGCTCGCCTGATAAGTTGCAGCATATACACGGCCGACTTGACCGTCTTCGTGCTGTTAAGTGCTGGCTTGTACGAAGATGTAACTCACACACACAAATCCTCTTGCCTGTCAAATTTTAGCAGTGATGTGTCATGAAGGAAGTAAGCTCTGGGGCTGGAGGCTCCGCAGCTGCCGAGTCGAAGTTTTACTAACTTACAGTAAAAAAAATTAGCCAGCGCTTCGACCAGTACCTGAGCCTGTTCAAATTTATTTGTAGATGACCTTCGTCTGTCGCCTTTTAAACAACTTTCTACAAATTTACGTCTAGGGTCCTGGCGCAGTCACTGTTGAAAACAAGCAATAACGTGAAGTCTAAATCCGAACCCCCTGGGACGCCACTCATCGCGGTTAACCCTAAAGGCTGCTGGTCCCCGCTGCTTCCATTTGGGATCGGTCAGTTAAAAAGTTCTGAATCCGTACAAGAACACCTCCACGAACTCCTATGCTGCGCAGTTTACACAGGAGACATTCGTAAGGGACACTATCGAGGGGCTTTTTGAAGTCGATATAGATGGCTTGCAACGTCTTGCCCTGGTCAAATGTTTTGGTCCATCATTCAAGAGCAAAGTGCAGATACGTAAGACAGGACTCATCACTGCGAAAACCCTGTTGGCATCGAAGAGGAGGTAATTCTGCTCGACGGCTTGCATCAACGCTTTCTCAATGACTTTCTCCGTGATTTTACAACAGATGAATATAAGACTCACCGATCAATAGTTATTCGGAGACGTTACACTTTTAGCCTTAAATAGCTGAGTAAGCGTTGCGGACGTCCAGTCTGGGGGTAGGCACTTCACTAGCAAATGACGCTTTAAAGAGCAAGGCTAGAGACTTGGTCATTTCAGAAACTAGCTTCCTCAGCAGCTTGGCCGGGATTACGTCGAGAACTGGGGACGTCGATCCTTTCATCTTAAGCAACTCTCCCTGGATGATTTTTTTGCTGACGAAGACTGTTTTAATAGCAGGAACTTCTTC